AGAGGAATATTGATTATAATCTGATTTCGTCATAAAATGTCGCTGCACAAATAACGAACTTGAAATACAGCTCTAATCTAAATCTTCGTTTTGGTTATTTTTTAGATGTGGTCGCACTGCTCGTCTTGGACGTTTAGGAAATGCATTATTAATGTTACTGCCGAATGAAACAGCTTACATAAATTTTTTAGAACGAAGTCAAAAGGTGCCTTTATCCGAAATGATGCCTGAAACTGTGTCTGTAACATAATTTTATTTTAGAGAATAATATATACAAAAATGCACCTGCATACCTGTGAACAAACTGTGTAACTTGAGTTGGTGCATCAAATTGTATAACCCAATCCACATCAGGTAAATCGATACCTCTAGCCATAATATCTGTACAAAGTAATATTCCTGATTCTTTCACACTACGAAACTGTTCAATAATATTTGATCGTTTATTTCGTAATTTTCGATGAATTGAGTAAACTACCGTTTGTTTATCGAGTAGAGTTTCTAATATTTTACTAAAATATTGAACACACGCACATGTACTGAAGAATATCATCATTTTTAATGATTTATGCATGTGAATAAAATGATACAATTGATTTAATTTTTCAGCTGGATCACATATCTAAATTAAACATACCTAAATACCTCAATAAAGCGTTGATAACTTCAGAGTCACTAATAGCCCTCAATTATTCATTGTGAAAGTAAATATTTTTCCCGTTACAGTTTTCCAGTAATTTATTCTCTTAATAGATAAAAAAGACGTGTGTTTACCATATAGAAATTTGTTAACGTTGATGGTGTACGTTGATTAGCTGCATTGCCTTTTTGTTTAACTGTAATTCGAACAGGATTTCTGAGACCAGCTCTTACTAATTTTTCTAATTCATCGGTTTGAGTGGCAGAAAATAATCCTGTTCGACGTTGTTTTGGTAAGGAAGCAAATATTGTATTTAAACTAAAAATATAAAAAAATATCAGTGATAAGAAAAAAAACGAACCTTCAGTAATTCCTACCTCATTAAAAATCCAAGGTCCAATAGTCGATCCGCTTCGTCTAGCACTAACATTTCCTAAAAGTGATGAGAACAGTATTAGATACACAATGATTCAAAAGTATAGCCGAATGTTCTGCTTCTGCTATACTTATTTTTTTTTTCTTAATTACTAATGTTTTTAAACTCTGACTAAGATTAAAGCCATTTTGGTTTATCTTCAATAATTCTTCAAATCTTCCGGGTGTAGTTATGCAAATTGTTCCACCGTTTTTTCGAAACGATTCAACGTCTATTTCATGTTTACAACCAGCAATCATTTGGATACACGTTAGATGTTCATTGTGAATAAATTGAATAAAATCTTCAATAATTTCGTATGTTTGTGAGGCTAATTCTCTGGTCGGTGAGATAATTAAAGAATAAATATGAGATTTTTTTATTTCTGGTAGTTTTAACAGTAATTCAAGAATTGGTATGACGAATGCCAATGTTTTACCACTACCGGTCACCGCTTCAACACAAACATCTTTATGTTGTAAAAATAGTGGAATTGTTATAGCCTAAAATTGAAATGTAATGAAGAACAACATTTGTTTAGTGATTATATTTTAAGAAGCAATTTAAGGATAAAATATGAGGAAAATGCATAACAGCATTACCTGTACTGGTGTCATTCTTGTAAAATTTTTTAATTTCAAATATTCTAATACAATCGGATTTAATGTGGATGGCCATTGATCAGTAAACGTATCTCCCATGCTTCCAGTGAGATCTAAAACGGGACAGACAAAAGGAAAGCTATTTAAACAGTTTGATCAACTAACTAAAGTCTTAGATACTTTTTTCAACTTTCTCTACTCTTTTTCAAGGTATCCGTATTTTAATGAGAAAAAAAAAGTGAACGTTTAAAAAGATAAAAACGTTTTAAATACTGAGAAACGACAGACATTGTGGAAGAATAGTTTAAATATACAAAAAACTAGCAAAATAAAGTTTATCGGTATAAATAATCGGCCTGGAGGTTAGCATTGATTTCTGCTTCCCATTTGTCACCATTCTGAAGTAGTTTTTCTTTATTATACAATAATTCTTCTCGAGTTTCAGTTGAATATTCAAAATTCGGACCCTAAAGCGAAAAAGCAAAATCGAATTCTTTTAACGAATTATAAACAGAGGCGTAGAAGATGTCCAATTCATCTGTCCAATCCACTAGTTGGGTAAATGTTTGACTTTTTTTGTAATTGATTTAACGAAAGTATGTAATCATGTCTTTTTTTCTCTGTGTGCTGTTTCTACATCTACACAAAAACGTGAGAGAAATTAAAAAACTTTGCCAAATCCATTATAGCTACAACTTCTTAATGTAACAGTATATAATAAATCTTTATCAAAGATGGGATTTTAAAAAATAACATCAAGATCGAAATTGCATTTCTGATCGGGAAAAAGAATGTATTATGACTGATAGTCTGGAAGCAATTATATATTCACATACTTCAACAATAGCATCAACTGGACAAGCTTCTTGACAAAATCCACAATAAATACATTTAGTCATATCTATGTCATAACGTGTTGTTCGTCTACTTCCATCTGCACGTTCCTCAGCTTCAATTGTAATGGCCTGAAAAAATTAACACAACAATAACAAACTCGACGTTAGAATTATCTTTTGATATTAATTTCAGAGGTTTATTTTACGTACTTGTGCAGGACAAATAGCTTCACATAATTTACATGCAATACATCTTTCTTCTCCAGATGGATATCGTCTTAACGCATGCTCTCCACGAAATCTCTAGTATAGATAAAAAGAAATTATTCCACTGGGAACAAATAAATCTTGTAGGCAAACTTACTGGGCTTAATGGTCCTTTCTCAAATGGATAATTGATTGTAGCTGGTTCGCGTAATTGCCATCCCATAGCAATCCACATCCCTACACGGAACAAAAACGATAAATTTTTGAATAAACATTCTTGATGTTCATAATTCTACAGCGTCCGTCTTGTACCTCTGAGTAGATCTGTCCAGATGAGCATATGGAGACCACGTTTTGCAACATTGTACATATCTAATGATGGTAGTGGTTTTGAAACATTGACTAGAAAAGAAAAATGTAAATCAAGAAAAAATCGATGATAAGTAATGAATTCGTGCTTTAAATACCATAAGATGCTTTCGACGGATCTTTGTCGACATAATCTTCCAACGCTTGTTCTCGCGCCTTTTCCAAATGAGGTGGAATTGACTTTTTAAATGGTTCTGGCGGATGATCAGGATTATTTTTATTTCGAAAAAATATTGTACGGACAAATAATAATCTTGGTAGACCTTCCAAACGACAAAAGCAAGACGCATTGTCTTCGCTACTAAATTACAATGACATACATTACCTCCTCCTAGAGCAGTAGAAAAAAGTCGTTCGCTAGAAAGCATAATTTACTCTTTGGTTAAAATCTAAAACAAACGCCCATAGTTAACATGAGACGACGTAAAGAAGGTAATTCAAAACCAGACTAGGAAATTTCTGAATGACTAAAGAGGCAGTTCTAACACGCAGTATTTCTTCATAATCTATTGTTAAGTTGGAAAGTAATCTCTCTAAACAGGGTGAGGGGCATTTTTCACAAATTCGTGACTTTGACTTGAGTATTTTCCCCACATACACCCCAAATCAAGACATCGAAATACGGTGTGAGCGAAACTGAGAGCAAGAATGCACACTGTTTCGAGGTTTTCCCTCGGTTACAATCATCTCTTTCTAGCGTCTGTTCTTCAGATATCTTAAACCTCATCCTTTGACAGTTCAGGTTAGTGTAGTCGTTATCGTATGCACTACTTAAAGAGTCAAGAGACTGCTTCAATTAGAAAGAGAAAAATTTATTTTTCCAGTCATCCGAACTTCAATAAATTTTTGTTGTACTTAAAAACATCGTTTCAGTTTTGGAAGAACTGAAAATTTATTTATCATCCTTTAATTGGCCACTTAATCTGCCCATCATGAAGCTCATGAAAGCTCCTATCTAGGTGGAAAGACGTATGGAGAGGGACTCCTGTCCGCCAGCGGGAAACAACCTATTGCAGCTTCTTCTCAAAATCACAACTAAAGCACAAGACCATTTTAATGACGATAAATGCAGCATAAAAGACCGCATTGTTCTCTAAATAATTCACTATCTTCATTTCAATTTTACTTCTCGCAGAAATCAGCCGAACAACAACAAATGAAGATATATAGCGACAAACCATCATATCATAAAAAGTCTTTGAAACAAGTTTACAATATAGGAAAGAGTTATATATATGCGTAGCTTCAAACCTTTCTCAGACTTTTTTTAACAATCAAAACAGAACCACAACATCGCAGAGGCTATAAACTAGTATTTTAGTGGTTTAGGTGTTGTGTTTGACATAGCGTATCCTGATCATTTTGGGTTTGAGAAAAAGAAAAATGACGTTCAATGATCTTTTGCTCTATCATATGAAAAAAATAGTTGATCAATGTAAAGTTAACTTAGTATTCAATCTAGCGAATTAAATGAAGCTTAACGAATTGTTAAAATGAGCCGACGATTTCTGTATTGTTTTTTGTCATTTTACATGCTTTAGATTTTATGCGTATCAAGATATACATATTAAGCTTTTATCGATAGTACTTGGGTTTACATGTTGTGTAGTTTTGCGTACGCAGAGAAGATGAGTCATAAATCAGCTGTTTGCAACAACTGGCAAATATGAATCATTCTGTTGGAGAATAGTGTGCTTTATATACGTTGTAGATTGTGATAAAAAATAAAGCAAACCTATGTATAGTACGTCCGAATGGCCCGATGCACAATTAAGCAATATTCAAAAAAGTAAAGAAAACTAGTTTTGCTGTTTAGTTTTATTCTTTTTCACAAACCGATAAAAATTATTTCATTTTAGCGTTACAAAATTCATGGCAAATTCCTTACATAACTCAATTTTGTCGTGTGTTCTGTGAAGTATTTAATTTATTTGAATTTCATCAAGAAGTGAGAATAGTAGCACTTGTTAGAATGTATTTAATATGGTTATTTTTGTTCTTTTCTCTGCATAGGAATTAGAAGATGCACTATTATTAGATAGTCCAGATGAAATGCATCCATTTTTACAAGAATTACTTCTTTCATTGCTATCCGGTTTGACGCGTTTTCAAGTCAAGTACGTGCGTCTTCAATTTTAAGAAAGTTCCTTCGATTTGAAGGAAGCCGGAGAAATAATAATACCGTTTGTAATATTGCAAGTTTCTTCACTGTCGATGGGTGTGATTACATGGCCCGTAAAAAACATAATTAGTAGAAATTGTTGCATTCTCAATCTTTGTGATAGAATCTATTTTTAAAAACGGTTTAATTAATATCAGTCTTTCTCTTTTTACTGTAACTGGATATGCATTCACTTGTCTTGAATGTTATTACAGCTTATTTTTTTTTTCTTAGTTCACAAAATATTCATGTTATGCTTGCAAAATGTTTAAGAAAATGTGATTTAACACTACAGTCATCAATTTCTCCACAATCAGCACCATCAGAAGAAACACTGGCGATAACTGATTGGAAAGAAATGAGTGTATTCGAAAAATTAAACATGTTAAGATGTTTATGTGATGCAAGATTAAATCAACCAGATGTAGAAAATTTAACGGAGGTAAGAGTTAAAAAGTAGGCTGTAATCATCTGTGAATAGTAGTGCTGTAATTTTTTATTTTAGACTATTTCAGCTGATTTAATTCGTTTTGAACCGTGTGGTGAAGATTCCAAAGGAAATAAAATTTGGTATTTTGGTGACACAAGATTATATGTAGAAGAATTAGATAAAACAAAATCGGGGTATGGTTAATATGAAGTCAACATGTGAACTTCAAAATTTCTTCTGGGCTCTTGCAAATGATGTTAATGACGTACTATTTACGCTTTTGGTTTATTTTCAAAGGATATAAAGCACATGTCAGGATGGAGACAAATTTTTTCCATTTTCGGTCTGAGTAAGTTTTTGAGTTTGTGGTAAACAATTATTTTCCTTGTACACAAAAAAATCTATGGATAGATAGTTTAGTTTTTGTGTCTTGTAATCGACAGACAGCATTTGATGTGTATATAATATTCTTTCTTACTCTCACTTTTGTCTATCATGATGCTTTATTATTTATTCATTGATTGTCATTACACACTATAACACGTGCATATTAGGTCAGTATTGAGTAGACTACTTACTTTCTATACGCGCAGAACAGGATTGCCAACTCAAAAGCTAAGAAATCAGAAAAGCAAAGTGTCAAAAATCAGAAGATGTATTTTTTTGCCCAAAACACAGAAGAAACGGTTACATCGTAATTTTTTTAAAACTGATCCTCATTCGCCTCTTTTTTTTATCAAATCTTGATGTTTGACAGCTTTAACATGTTTATCTGAATCATTTTTTCCTCCAGCACGAATAGAAATGTCCGTGTTACAAACTGAACATTTTGTTGTAGTTTCATTATGATTAACTGCTAGTAAAAGTTCTAAATATTTTGGATCTCTCAACCAATGTTTGTTAAAAACGCCTTTTTGTTTTTTCACTCCATTTTTATTTTCTTTGTTTTCAACCGAACCTAAGGCAGTGGTGTAGGCAGGATTTTTTTAAGGAAGAGGCCCAACATTTTTTTAGGCTGGATTAGAGTAAAAAGAAGACTATATAACATATGTCGCTTATAGCTGATATTTTATTCTATTCTCCAGTGCAAGTTAACTTTCTAAGGGGGGGGGGGGGGGTTTGGCCACTAGGTCGTACGTTAAAAACGCCAGAACAAAAGAGAGATTTAGCAAGCACAACGGCAGTTTAT